TATTATTGCTGTCAACATTATACTGATACAAAGTGGATTACAGTAGAGGATTATATGTTGTATTATTATTATTGCTGTCAACATTATACGGATATAAAGTGGATTCCAGTAGACGATTATATGTTGTTGTATTATTGCTGTCAACATTATACTGATACAAAGTGGATTACAGTAGAGGATTATATGTTGTATTATTATTATTGCTGTCAACATTATACTGATATAAAGTGGATTCCAGTAGACGATTATATGTTGTTGTATTATTGCTGTCAACATTATACTGATACAAAGTGGATTACAGTAGAGGATTATATGTTGTATTATTATTGCTGTCAACATTATACTGATATAAAGTGGATTCCAGTAGACGATTATATGTTGTTGTATTATTGCTGTCAACATTATACTGATACAAAGTGGATTACAGTAGAGGATTATATATTGTATTAATATTGCTGTCACACAAGGTAAGCTTTATAAAAATACCAGGGGGGGGGGGTAATTAGGGGCAATATGGTATATAAATAGTGTTACGACTACTACTATTTTCGTTGTATCCCAACCGGCCTGAAGAGCTCTGGAATAAACAAAACATGTGTCGGCATTGATTATGACAAATACAGTGGTTAGAATATTATAATTATACAATTCTAATCTTTCAAAATACCTAAGGGACTAAATTAAGAATGTAGTGTTTAAAAATGCACTAGGCTTAATACTAATGTCTTATAACAAGTAAAATTACAATAATTCTTTGTTGGCTTGTAAACAGCGAACACACCATAATATTTACAAGGTGTGCGACTAACTTGTGTGTCCTTATTCATTACAAGTTAAAAAAAAGAAAATATTACTAATGTATCTCGAGGCGCCAACAGAAAATACAGGTTTAACTTTCAAATATAATCAATTTATACAGACATTTAAGTTAAAAACCAGTAACTTTGCAATATTTGTATATTTGACGGTTGATAAAACCGTTTAATGGTTTTCCACACCCACGATCATAAGCTTCACAAATTATAAATCCCACACGCTACCTACGCAACATATGCCCACATGGTTGACAGTAAACCGACTAGAATATGTAGATAATATAACTCACCCTTGAAAGTGTAGCCTTGACTGGTTGTCTTGACAACGACTTCACTGCTGACGTTAAAAACTCCACTCTGGAAGAGAAAAGTTAGATTTACAAGGTGTGCAACTAACTTGTGTGTCCTTATTCATTATTAGTTAAAAAGAGAAAATATTACTAATGTATCCGAGGCGCCAACAAAAAATAACTACGCACTTGGGGTGTGGGTAGTATCAATCCTCGAAGAAGTTTTGGGGGCTGAACCCCTTTAAAAGGGGCCTCCAAAGAGCGAAGCGCCCTGGGCACTCGCAACTATAGAGGAAGTTATTTGTTGTTCAACTCTTTGAAAGCTGTTCTAACGTTTTGTGTTTTACTTTTTACGAATCTTAACTTCGGTTTAAATTTTCTTCCCAGAGGAAAACTACGCACGTGCATATTGTGTGTAAAGAGAGTGACACATTTGCGTATAACTGCGCTATCTTTGTTTTTACACCATACGATTTCATGTGAAGACGGCAAGTGCATAACGTGGGAGGGTTTCAAGTTTAAAAAGAAACTGGTATAGAAGGAGTTAATTAAATTGATCGAATTTGCATATTCATAAAACACCAGGTTATAGAATAAGTCTGTACGCATTTGATTGACACTAGGTCCATTTCTTTACTATGGTGGTTTTCATCCACTTGATTGACAAGCAAAGGATCAGCATTTTTATTTACCTTTCTATTCCTTAACTTTTATCAGTTGACTTACATTTTGTTAAATAGTTTACAAACGGAATCAAACTATTACTGGGTGGATCGAATCGACTACGGTGACCTGGGAGTAGATTGATTGTCCACTTAAATAGAAGGAAAAACTAAAATCAGATAGAATAAGACCAAGTGCTGAGGGAACGATGATATTCAAAATATTTTCGTCAAAATACTTGCAAGTACATTGTCTAAGGCGTATGCACGTCATGGGTGTGAAATGAAATGCGTGTAACCCTTTCAAAAACTTTCCTAGCTCGGAGATCAGCGATTTTAGTATTGACTTTTGTTATTGAAATGCTTTATGTATAAAAACATAACGGTACGACCATAAAGTTAATTTGAAAGAATATACTGCTAATTAGAGAGGAGTAATGCAAGTTTACATCACCCCTCAGTCACCCCTCTAAATTTTCTTAATCCCTTTTTATTTACTTCAAAATTATCCAGAAGAGGAAATGGCTCCCAAACTCCCCTTATTAAGACGTATTTACATCGTGATTAAGGCCGCCTGGCACAAACGTACCACATTTCGGAAAAAGAACCATTGCTGCACGACGACCTCTGGTTACACACTTCAGTGGCGTAGTTGGAGAGAATCCTTCAATAACATTTAAAGTGTGTTTTTCTATATGTACTCGGAATTGGTATTTTCAACTTGAAAGGCACCTTATGCGACACATGAGCTAAGTGGCCAGGTCACAGACTCCTGGAGTTCAGGTATAGCCGATTCTAAACTACTACTAATGAGGCCAACATTCGCGGACAAAGGCAACATGTCTGCGTCACGCAATCCCAACATGGCCAATTTTAACACAAGGAAAACCGAAAACTGTTTATATCACTGCTTTGTGCCAAATACCACGTAAGTTGGTTGACATACACATGAATAGTTCATGAAAACCCCAAACTGTGTCTTCCTTGCTGAAAAATTGAGCAAAAGACAAAATTTCCAAAATTGTCTATATCTCTTTTTTTGGACCAGCAAAAAAGCATCTTTGTATTAAATCCCAAACCCTAAAATTATGGGTTTATTTAACCTTTTGACTCCATTCTCCCACATTTTTGTAGGTATATGTATGGTACCTGTAAAAAAAGTATATTTGAACCAAATCCCATGTAAATTGGCTAAAATACGGCCAAGTATCTAACAAAAAACACACCAAATTAATCTTTTTTGTGAGCTCTGACCCCCTTAAAAAGACTCAGTATGGGCAAATCCAACTTTTTTGTATGTCAATATGTTGGGCGCAAAAAAATTATATTTGTGCCAATTTTCATCTTGACTGCTGTAAATATGACCGTACAAGAGCCAAAATATACATTTTTTGTTGTTTCACCTTCAACCCCATAAAATCCTTTAAAAAAAAGGCCTAATAAATAATAACAAACGTGTCTGGATGTATTGGACCAAGGTATAACTCAACCAAGTTTGAAGTCAATCCATCGAGAAATGGCGGAACGGTGGTCGATTGAAAAGTGTATCGAAGAGGAAGGAACAAAAAAACAATACATAACTACAAGGGAAGCAGCCAGTCACAAGTTCCCTGCCCGACCCTATGAACCGAATAACGGGTCTACAGTCACTTTTATCGGCGAACACAGCTGAAATTGCAGAGCGTGTTCAGCGGCGTTACGATTCAAACCTTGGATTCTTCAATCACAGCCCGGCACGTTAACCACTAGAACAAGCCTAGATAAAATGCATCCGTTTTGGAAATATTAGTATAATTTCAAATATTGACCTAAATTAATGGAAACAGCGACAGTATTATTATACGAAAAAAGAAAAACAAACGCTTTAGTAATCGTAAATGAACAGAAAATTATACATCATATCTGCTTGCTTTTAACTGCTCTTTGTAGCAAATTTTATAAAATACCACAAAACTATGTGTCTCATATGATAAGCTATTAATGTGTTCATATTGTTAAAATTATCCAGTCATGTTAGTTTTTGCACAACCCCGTGAACCGCACACCAAAAACCCTCATAATAATAATATCAAAAAAAGCGTTAGGCTTCACTTCTAGAAACTGAGTTCCAAGATTAACCGAGTTTAAGTAAATTATAAATATTTAGTATATACTTCTCTCTTTATAGTGTGTCTGTCTATAATATGCTTGCGTTTGTCTGTCTGGAACGTTTCTGGCAAATTTCTCGATCAAACGATACAAATCTAAAAGCTATAAAAATGCCCTTGTCCGATGAGTCCGGATTGCATTTTGGCTTTTCTATTCAGAATCACCTTAATTGTTTTTTTACTTTGTCAAACTTTTCAATGCAACGAGTATGTTACACGATGGCAAAACGTCATCACGTGACGACTGGCTTCCATTTGAACCTTAGTTTTTTTATTTACAAAGTATTTCACATAAACAACACTTAACCCGCGTGTTATTTCCTTTAAAAAATTAACCTTACACTAAATACAATTTTTGTGGGCTTTCTCGACTTACTTAGGTCTAAAATACACATGCGCAGTTCGTTCAAAACCACACGGTTAACACTTTGTGAACACGCATTCAGACGTTTCTGCATAAACAGCTAAATTTGCCCTCATTACAACTTTACATTTATTTTACTTTGCAATAATTTAGCTTCGGTTCGTTTCATAGACTGCTATAAACACCTTTTAGCTACTTTTTTTTCTTTACTACGGGTTTTATTCTTCGTTTTTGTGGGTTTTTCTTTCAACTTGTAAAACCGTGTCATTCACTGTACGCTCATAAATGTCTCATACTCTGTACACTTTTATAAATACCATTACTATAGTTTATTGTTTACTTTAGGTATAGATTAATTGAATAAAGTTACGTCTACGTGAGTTTGTTTGTCTGATCGCGTAAAGTGTTTTCAAATAGACCAGGATTTATCTAACACATAATACCTCCAAGAAAGCGTAGCACCTAGTCTCATTAGAAACTTAAATATTCAGTAGCTCTACTATTCAAAAGACAAATATTTTAAAGTGAAGTGGAAATATAAACGAATATATGGAAGCTTACGGCGGAAAAAGTTAACTATGAGCTGAAATTGAGAAGGCAATGCTTCCTTTAAATTTTGTTTGCCGATTTCCCATATGCATTATTAAATATTTATACCACGTGTGTACTAGGTTGTATACTGCAACACTCAGGGTGTCCATGTGTGAAAAAGGCAGTTTCCAGACACTGCATTTTACTAAAAGTTTATACTATAAGCAGGCAAAGTTCTGGTTCAAAATCAGGAAAATCCGGTATAAGTCATGTGCGACCAGGAGTTACTTTCTGTAACTAAAGTCAGTCAATAGTGACATCTACTATATTACGAGATAGTTGTAATATAGCCAACATCAACACGTGTTTGAGGTTGTTATTTCACGATTGTCACATGAGAGAAGGATACCATCGAATTCCTAGAATGCAACTTGTAATTGACTGGCTTTAGAAAGAAGTGAACTGTGAATTCAGCCAAATTTGGCGCTTTTAGACAGTCAAGACCTGTACCTGTTCGTAAAGTTTTTTTTTTA